ATTGAATAATATGAGTGATAAAAAAGTGAAATATATAGTTATATAGTATATAAAAGTACAATGTAAGAGCTGCAACAGCTGGTTCGAAAATGATGACCTCGCTTGACCGCTCTCTACTAAAGCCTCTTATTCTTCACTTTATCCCACTTTAACCTTTATTCAGCAACTACTGATCGGGTGTGCTATGATTTGGGACAGTTTTTAGGGAGATATCTGCATTATTTCAACAACCTTATATCAATAAAAGTGCTTTTTTTTTCAGGCGAACCTGATTATTTTCAATTTGAGCTGTGTAATGTCTTCATTTACTATATTAACCAGCAACATATACACAATATTACCCATCTGAACAATCTCACAAGTGTTGTGATCTGATTATATCACCAAAAATTATTAAAATAGACCTTGTAGTTACAGAACTATGGTCACTTTAGTGTTTGTATGCTATTTTCGAGCAGAGGCCTACAAATAGGGCTGGAGCTTAAGAGGCTAACAACAACACGATCAGTTGTTCATTCATTTTAATTCGTTCTTGACCGCAAATCATGGATCTTAATTTTTTCTCTTGATGTTAATAAAATTTTCCCTTCACTCCCTATACCTATACGTATACGTTCTAGTATAGTATAGTGCTCGGACAGCAATTGGTTTACAAAGGATGATTTTTATATCCTTGCTCTGAGATCCGCAGGTTAAATGACTGTGTGTGTGTGTGGGTGAGATGGTATCAGTGCATGTGCCGTGGTGTGAGCGTGCTGCAGCTTACCGGAGGGGCTGAGCGATAGAGGAGACCCTTCTCTCTTGGTTCCGATGTCCCGACCGAGATGGAAAGATGGAGCCATACAAAATAGTTAAGTTTTCACTTGTTTATTTTAATTCAATTCAAAGTATATTTCTTTGGATTCCAATTCAGAGAAAAAAAACTGGTCTACAACAAGTTTTCAACACCAGAAAAAAGAATGACAGCTAAACCAGTGAGAAAAGTGTATTGCCAAAAAGTCCGGAGATTGGTTAAATCTCATTTTAAATTGAACACAGGTTACGACATGCCGCTCCCCCTTCTTCTGCCCCCGATCTTCTAAAATCAAAGGTTTAAATCATCAGCTTGAGCAAGCGCCAGAGGTAGGCAAAAGGTCATAGGCATTAAATAGATAGAATGTATGGCACATTATATTGAACTCCAATAGATTGTATGTAATATTTTCCTATGTATGCTGCTTTTGTCCTGCACCTCCACCCAACTGGGTTTGAAAGTGCACTCTATCCACTTTCTATGCATGGCAGTTTTTGACTGTCCCTATACTTTTAGCTAAGTAGAGCATTTATACCTAGAAATAAAGCAATGTCTAAGAGCATATCGCCCTCTCTTTAACTTCTCCCACACTCTTTAAATGGTATCTTCCATCTTTCCATCATCTGCCTCCATCTATCCAGAGGTCAGCGTCAGAGTCTGTAATCACTTTTAATATTGCATTCTTCATCTCTACAAAGACTTCATTCAGCCGGGTATACTGTGAGACCATTGTCCTACACTAAGCGGAGGAGCAGGATGATGATGCTCATCGGGGAGACTCCCCACTGAGCTGACGGTACATCTGCAGATGTCTGAGCAAAGTACACAAATATATCTTTGGCCCCTTTGTGTGTAAGTGAATGAATCATCTTTTCAATAATTTGCCAAGAAAGTTAAAAGGAAGCTTACCTCAGCGCTCAGTTTAGTCAGTGACTCAGCGTCTCCTCGTCTCTCCATTCCACTCCTCTTTGATTTGATTTTCCCTAATGGAAGGACTCTCTGCCCAGACTTAAAAAAGAAGAGCTTTTAAATGTTGTTGGGTTGAGTGTCCTGTGTGTCCTCGGCGTCTTCCTATGACCTTTAGTGAATACCTTCCCCACTCTCTCATGCCTCTCCTGTGGCTTATTAACTCTGTATCTTGACAGAGAATAATGGGAATTTTAAGATATTTTCAGATCATATGTAAACATGTGCATGTGTTTGAAATTGTGTTTCAAACTGGCCAGTATGGTTTTGGTGACTCCTTTTTTTCTACTTTATCTCCCATAAACATGTAAACTGTAACGATGTAAGAGCAGCAGTGCGTGTGTGTGCGCGCGCGTGTGTGTGTCTGTGTGTGTGTGTGTGTGTGTGTGTGTGTGCGTGCGCGTGTGTGTGCGAGCGCGCGTGTGTGTGTGTGTGTGTGTGTGTGTGTGTGTGTGTGTGTGTGATGTATGCCCTCGGTGTAGCCTACTTTTCCTGACCGATGTTTTACAAGTGGCCTCAAAGGTTCCTGGGTGGTCTAATTGCGTTTGCCACAGGAGATTGGTGCACTTTACCGCGGTGCGTGCAACTGTTAGATGTGTGTCTCAGTTTGTCCAGGCTTGCAGGTGTGTGTGTGTGTGTAAACAGAGACAGTACAGTATGTGAGTGCATTTAATAACAATCACCTGTCATCACACTGTCACATGCATTCTATATCTATGAATTTATGTGCGTGTGTGCAGACTATCACAAAGATATGGGCCTCTTTTTCCCCCATCGCGCGCTCCCACTCAGTTACCCGCGGGGTATTTTTCCACGAGTCCTCTCTCTTCTTTACTGTCTGACCCAGAATGCATTTGACCAGAATGGCAATAATTGCTTCAACCAGATCACAAATCACCGTCTTGCCTTTTGTGATGTATACTCTGAAGTATGCAAACAAGTACACACACTCCACTGCTCCCTGCACGTAAGTCATCTATCAAAACCCTGGGGCACCTAAACTAACCTGCTCTCATACAATTGATTGACACTCAGATAGTTACTATGGTCACCTTGTTAGACATGTTAAATGTGATCTGATTTCCACCTTATTCTGATTGATAAAGTGAATTCTGCGTACTCATTCAGCAAACAGGTGTTTTTCATTTTGTTGGTATGCATGCATCTGTTTTTACTCATTCTACGATGTGTCCCTGTTTATTTCTTTGACTTACAGGGAGCGTGTGGAGTGAGGTATGTTTGTCCCGATGTTGCCAAACTGTCTTCTGCTCCTTGTTAAGTTTTCTGCAAAGCCACCAACCTGCAGGGATAACGATGCAGCCAAGATATCTTCAGCAGAGATGATGTGTTCTTGTCTTTTTCAGACCTGCTTGTGATGCTACGTCTTTCAGGGGTTTTCACAGGGTTTTGTGCACCAGGCAGATTGTCTGTCCACCCTTTGGCTGAGCCACTGCAGTGTTTTATGAGCTGTATGTACAGTGCGAGTGTTTGATGGTATGTGTGAAGAGTTCCCAGAATGTGTGTTTTTAGTTTGGTATGTGAATGTGTGTGTACATGTGTGTTTTTTACAGGGGTCCGGTGTTTTGAAGGAGGCCAGACAGCTGCCTTTTACTGCCCCAGGGGGTAATAAACAGCGAGGGAGGGGTAGTTATTTACCCCTTTTATTAGGGCAGGAGGCAGAGGAGGGGAATTTATTGGGGTCACACTGTAACCACACACAGCTGCAGGGCAAGAAGAGAAATAAAGGAGAGATAGTTGGTTTAAAAAAAAAAAAAGAAAGAGCAGTTTTAGCATCACAAAATTCCTCTCTCAGGAATCTAGTTTTTACTTGTGTGTGTGTGTGTGTGTGTGTGTGTGTGTGTGTGTGTGTGTGTGTGTGAACCTTGGGTCATCCATCTTTCTCCCCAGCCCCTTTTTCATTTCCAGGTCCCTTAACAGTCCACTCCTTGTTAAGCACATCTGCTGTCAATCAGTTCTACCCTGTAATCTAATTGGCATTTCCTGCCATTGGAGACACGCCCACTGATCATTTGATGATTGGTCAGGTAGTTCAGTGTCCGACCCATAATCGTTCCAAGTTGACCTCTGTTTGTCTTATCTACCTTGGTTGCCATAACAGCAGATGTTCCTTAAATTAGGACGTTTAAAGGAACAGATCAACAGTTTGGGAAATGCTTTCTTGCCGAGAGTTAGATGAGAAGATTGATACCGTTCTCAAACTGTGTGGTCATTACGCTGAATATGTAGCTCGAGCCAGCAGCCAGTTAGCTTAGCTTAGCATAAAGACTGCAACAAAAGGAAACAGCTAGCCTGACTCTGTACAAAAAAATGGCAAAAACCCACCAACACATTATGTCTTGTTGATCGATACAAAACCCAAAGTGTGAATGATGACAGTTTGCCATTTCGGGGGGTTATATACTGTACTATTGCTGCCTTCAAATGGAGCTTGTGGTTACGACGTGGGAAGCTGTGTACAAGATATGGTTGTGTTCAAGTGGCTAAGTCATGAGAACACCTCTGGGAGAAGCCAAGTGTATTCAGCTTGCTAAATAATTTAGCAAGCCAAGAAAGGCCAAGAAATGGTCTGGAACATCACCTTCAGTATAACGGTGAATTGCCATTTTGCTACAATTCAGGTTTTGTTTGAATTAAACAAAAACGATGAATTAGTGAGCCAGAGGTGCCAGGCAATTTTTTTCCCAAAATGTGAAACTATTCCTTTAGGTCGAGGAACCTTTAAAAACCTTCCTGAGAAATATGAATATGAACTGGCAAGTTAAATGGAAATAAAACTGAGCAGTGTTCAATGGTGGCATTCCCACAGCTGGCTCTCTGTATGTTGCTTCACATGCCAGGGAAAAATTTCAGGATGGGCAGATCCACGTGAAATGTGTGATAAAAGTGAGCAGACAGAGAGAGTCAAATGGAAAAGTATTCAGCATCGAGACTTTGCGAGGGAGGAATAATGAGGGCATGTGGCAGAGAGATGATTGACAGAGAGAGATGAACGGGAGGGATGGGGAAACAAAAAAACTGAGAGCGAGCGAGACTGAGAGGGAGGGGGCAGACAAGTTATTCTAGTTGCAGACAGCTGACAGAAAGCCTAAAATAAGATGGAGCCATCTAATGTGCACATATTCCACAGCTACACTCACAAACCATAAAACATGCGCAGTGTTAAATGCTGTTATTTACCTAATGGTTTTCAGTTCAGGAGGGCCAAGAGTCGACGTCAGGCTGAGTTAATATCATGCTTTATTGTTTTCCCATAGAAAGTGTTGTTTCCTATGATCACATTTCATATAAAAGAGACACAAAGTAAAAACGTAAGCAGTACTGTAGCAGGCTCCTAGTGTAGTAATAAATATAAACGTCGTCATGAGATAGAAAAGGTTAAAGTTGTGGGGCAGAACAACTAAACAAAACTGACCTGAAACTGGAAGAGCTCAAAGATTGGTTTACACGTCTACAAATATAGTCTCACACCTCTTCTGCTGCCCCACACACACACACACACACACACACACACACACACACACACACACACACACACACAGCCAAATAAATGGAGCTGTCACTCAACAAATCCAACATACATTTTTTTTTTATGTTTAAAACCCAGCTGGTCACGTTTGATGGAGCTGCAGAGAGAGGCAGATAACTGAGGAGCTAAGACCGTCGTGTAGATATGTGACACACAGTTGCCACACTCATTACATAGTGAGGCTAACAGAGATAATGGAATACAACTAAAGACTGCCATCTCCCAGTGCTGCCATAACAAAGAGGGTGACGAGATGCAAGTGGTGATGCAGGAGAGGGGGCTGGCTGGAAGGACGAAAAGTGAGAAGTGCTCTTGTTCATTGTCGCTCGTAGACTCTGGTGCATATCACATCGTCTGCTCCCATGGTCTAAAAAGAGAGGAGAATGTGGATGTTTAAATACTGACACGGTTATCTGCAGTTCAATGTGAATTCGTATTAAAAATATTTCGTAGAACAAGTCATTAATGTTTATTATTTCTGAACCTCCAAATTAAGCTTTTTTTTTTAAGCATCCAGCAGTTTAGACCAACGTAATCTCACTGTGCCAAACTGTTTTGAACAAACATTTCCGGAAAGTTGTTTACGCAACCATGCAAGTCTGTGCAAAACTCTCACACGGTTATACTGCTGGCTTCTTTGGTTGTTAAGAGCACGTCAGGAGTCTTAGAATTTAAGTCACTGCCAGCTCTGCCCCATAAAAAACAATTGACTCCAGAGCATACATGTGTCATCTGGTTGTACTGTGCTCTGTACTCAGATTCTTCCGTTACTACTATACTACTACCATACTACTACTCGTCTATGTCGTCTTCCTTTTCATCTATTTGCATTCTTCTAAAAGCATTACCAACATTTGACCGTGATCGGTTGCTCGCTTGACATTTGTATTAAAACGTAAAACAAAGATTAACCGATTAACTTTATGACCGCTATGAGTTCACCATCCAGGTACTCGTAGTGCACTGCATTTAGCCATATATTTGTCACCGGGTGTGCAAGCTCTTATGTAAGTACAGATCAATGCTAATTGAGAGACAGCACTGGTTTACCGCTATTATTAACAATTATTTTTAATACAAAATAAGTTTTAGTCAACATGAAGTGCCAGCTAGGTGGGTTTTCTTATTGAATACAGTTCTGTTTGTGGACAGGCATCTTATTCACAGAAATGAGTTTTGGTAGCTGTCTTTGTTTAGTGTTTCTATAAAACACTCATCAACACACTAAAACACAGGCATTCATGACATCAAGCTGATGCCTGTACATGCATTTGTAATTGCAACAGAATCTCTTTCATCTTCTGCCAGTAGACATCATGGTATTCGAAGCGCAATTATATAGTCTAAAGGCAACACTTCACATCACAGTAAGTTACCATGTCTTTTTGTTGTACAAAGGAAGTACTAATATGTAATATACCAGATGCTATCAGTACAGAACTGTCTTTACAAATGTGAAAAAGCCCCAAAATAGTTGCATATTGTAGTGGCATATTGAAAAATACCCTGCAACTATTAGATAGGAAATGCAAGATACAAGAATCTAATTCCTTAATAGAAAGTATTGGAAAAACGGAGGCACAATACCGATATTCCGGGGAATTTACAGTTTCGTTTTGGTATAATTAATTTAAATATACGACCTACACTTTAAGAGGTTTTTAAATATGGTGTACAGGGTATTAAATAACTACAGGGCACATTCATTCCGGTACTCAGTATGCAATTAAATGATTACATGGCTACATAATGAAAAAACTGGTATTGCGTGTGCTGTTGCAAATAAAGTCGTAATTTAGTTCGAGCAACGTTAATTAGCTCCTAGGTTTAAAGTTTGAATCAATACTGGAGCATTTTGGTGGCCTAAAATGCACCTACAGAGGTTTATGTCAAAGTCAAGTTGATTAGTATCTCGAGTCTGACTCGAAGTGTGCAAAATAAATCACGCTGTAATCTCGATACTGTACAGTAAAGTGTTTCCCTTGTTGTTTCTAAATCTGAACTCTGGTTTAGTGGATAGTTTGTGTGCTTTACCAGGATCAGTTTGCCGTCATTGGTGATCTCTCGGGTCCAGGACGTCTTTGGCCCCTCTCCTTTCGGCAGAGTCTGCTCACAACTGATCTTACTGTCGGTTTCCCAATGTGGAGAACTCTGACGAAGAGAAATAGAGAAGGAGAAAGAAAATGTATATCGTGCCATTCAGAGGGAAAGAGAGATCACAAGAGAGTGGCTAATGGAGGGAGAAAACAACAACAGTGGAGCAGGGCGATCACTGAGAAGTGATAACTTGTGATGCGCTCATTGCTACTAAAGCGGAGCGCTGGCTGCTTGCATGTGTTTGCTTTGGAGACGGCCAAACAGAGGCCATGTATGGGAAACGGGGAAACCAACGGGAAGAATTAGGGAGGGACGGAGGGCAAGAAAGGGCAAGAAGGGGGAACGAAGGGAAGACGGGAAGTTGAAAGGAGTCGTAAAGAGTGTGAAGGAGCATAATGTAGCATGACAGGCCTTCAGAGACTAAGGGAGGAGGAAAGATATGCTATCAGTCCAAATATGATGAAAAGCCAAATCAAACAGATTGATGTAATCTGGACTGTTCCCTCCCCAAACAGACATTTATTATGTGTGTGTTTGCTTATGTGTATGTGTGTGCAGAGAAAGTAGTGCTGTGTACCGTGCAGGGACGTCCGTCCACTGTGGCCTCGTTGAACTCCTGCCCCACAGTGAAAGTGATGTGGGTGGTGCGGACTGTGGTTGAGGTTTTAATGGACAGCGTCTCTCTGTCCTGCGTGATCTCCACCAGAGGCTTGGAGGCCGCCTTCACGGCAATTAACCGAAGCATCTTGTTCACACCTAGAAAACACACACACACACACACACACAAGTAAGACGAAGAGAAAATTACAAAACTAGACAGAGTATATATAAGAAGAGATTTGCTCACAAAGACACAAGTAAACACTTGTTCTTGCACAAACTGTTGTAGATACTTTGAATGAATATTCCCATGGAAGCAGTACACTGCTGCAATGAGGCAGATCTTTTTTTGTGCCACAGATGGTTTATAGGATTCAGCCCTCAGGAGCAAGGCAAGCTAAACTTGTTTTTACCAAATTATGTATAACCCCAGGCCTTAGGCCCAGTGTGTGTGTGTGTGTGTGTGTGTGTGTGTGTGTGTGTTTAATTATGTGGTGTGGTGTTGATGCGTGTTCTCCTATACACTCAGGGTAAAAGGAGAGGCCTAGCATTGCACAGCTCTGTCCAATAATAATGAGAGGACAAAATGAGGTCATACCCAGCACATCTGCATTCTCCTCTGACTTGATCATCTTTGCACACACACAGACTCAAACACACAGACAAATTTGGTGATTTTGAACTGTAATCTGCATTATTCTCCTTTTTTTTAACCAAAGAGAGACAGCACACTCATATTCCCATAGTGTGCTGCTGCAGTTAAACTAATTATGCAGCCCGCGGGGAAAAAAGAGGGAACCAGGAGCAGACCGGTGCGGTGGGAGGGAGGGAGTGAGGGGAGTGAGGAGGGGGGGAGTCAGACAGACAGACAAGGGGCAGTGGTCTGTGTGTGTGAAGATCTTTGCCCAAGTGTGAGGGGAAGTTTGTGTACGTCGTCCAGCGTGTATCTTCCGTCGAGTTGGGTTTCGCACTTCTCACCTCTCACACATTCCCACCTGTCATCGAGGGTAAATATATACAAACCCTGAAATGCACAGTCATTCAGCATGCATCTGGATGCTCAGGCTGTACATGCTACACACACAACACAGTATTTATGTGCATTGTTGTTATTATTATTATTATGTGCAGATACATTTTTAATTGTGTAAAGCTGATTATTACCTCTCGCATCGTACATTGTGCTGGAGTCAGTGTCTTATTAACGTCTTTTTTTCGTATGTATGGTACCAGTTTCACAGCGATGCAGTCGAGGGTAAGAAAAAAATACATGTACTCCACTTCTGTCAGCTGCAACATTAAAAACTATATATATATATATATATATTAACATGCTGTTGGATGGTTTTATCTATAATGATGCATCATATTTCTGTGAAGTTTTCTTTTCTTATGATGGAGTATTTTACACTGTGGCATTGGAACTTTTATTTAATGTGGTGGCAAAGGTGGTTATAGTGCAGAAATGATTGGTCGATTACTCAATTAAAAGTTAAGATTATTTCAGGCAACAACCCGAGCTGTATGTTTACTCAGACTAAAGAGAGTACGCCTGGGGACCATTTGGGAAGTTTCTCAAGTAACTGGCAGTTGTTAAAAGTTAGAAATTACCTGAACAGACTTTTGCAAACCTGCGAGCAAAATGCTTAAATTCACACAGACCCGGCCACATTAGGACACACAGATAGACACTCGGTCAGAGTCAGAGGTCAAAGAGCAGAGGGTAGAGGAAGCATTTGGGACACGGGGAGACGAGGGAAGAGGGGAGGAGTGTAGGAGAGCAGGAGAGAGGAAAGGAAGAGAGGATGGAGGGAAGGAGGAGGGTACTAGGTGCTGACAGGCTGTGTCCAGCTGCGGTTTGTTCCCCAATGAAACCAAGGACCTTTCCTCTCCGGCAGCCATGCCAATGCTGAGGAATGACTACTGCGGTGATGGTGTTTTTTTTTTTTTAGTAGGATACAACAGTGTCATGTAGTGGAGTTTAACCTGCATTCTTGTTGAAGTTCCTCCCCCTTTTGCACACAAGTATGAAGAAAACACACAAGCATAAACCCAAGTACCAAGTCATTTTTGCCATTTTTGTTATAGCCCCCCCACACACACACTTTCTGCCTTACACACATGCAGAAGGAGGTAGAGATTAACAGTTACATTAACCCCTAATTGGTAGATCAGTGTAACATCTGAATTCACACTCCCGCCCAGTGGTGTCTATATTCAGACCAATAGTGCCATACTTGACAGATATTTCAATAACCTTCTTAGGCAGTAAGCTGTGTGTGTGTACGTCCGCACACGCGTGTCAGTCATCTCTGTGTGCGCTTATGTGATGATATGAATTCCAGGTGTGCACTGGAAAAGTAATCTAATGGAAATTGGCTATTAACGACAGACGGCTCTGACGTCGCGCGCGCATGCACATGCACACACACACAAAACACACCCTGGTGCCTGTCCAGACTCCATATGCACCAGTGATGTAAAAAAACCGTGTGAATCTCAGCAGCAGGTGTTTATCCTGACTTGTCACTTCAGATAAGGATGTGACTGTCCTGCACTGTATCGTGCCATAACGGTCCTCTTCCACGCAAACACACACGCACGATCTGCGGCCACAACACAGACAGATGTGCCGCCGTTTGTCTCTATTGTGATAGGGGAGGCCAGAGGGGGGAGGAGAGGAAGAGGGGTGATGCTGGTTGGAGGCCAAGCACCGAGTTTTGGGTTCTGCAGAATGACAAAGACCCCCCACCAATGCGGTACAGGGGGTGATCATCGCTGATGCATGGGCACAGATGAAGATTTGACCTATAATGTGCTGAGAAAGCTACAGCTTGAGCTGACACAAACTGACACATCTGATCTCATTACGCACAAAAATAAAAGCTTCATTAGAAACCACTCTCGCGCAAAAAAATGGGTCAAGCTGCCACATTCGGCACAGTTTTTTTTTTTCTTCTTTTAAATAATATATTCTATCACCTACCCAACTTTTTCAAAAGTTCGTCAAAGTTTTCAGAACTCTTCATCTCCCAGGTGCCGGCGAAATCAGGGATTTTGCGCTCCATGTTAGGCTGAAGGTAGTTTGCCGATTAATGTAGGAGAACTGTCAGGTCCAAGTGTGGTCGGTGCTCTGCTGTCTCTGCGCGTCTTGTGTCAATAATGCTCCAACGTCCCCTTATGAATCTCGTCTGGGTGTGTGTGGTGCTCCGGCTGGTTTGACTCTGCGCGTCCAGTTGCTTCTGCCCTCTTCCCGGGATGAGTGACCGACTGTCAGAGCCCTTGTCTTACCTCTGTACCGGTGCACTATAAGTGGCTGCGCTACTAATGAATGGCTCGGCAAGCAAGGATACTTGTGTAGGGATACACACGCCCCTTTCTGTACGGGCACGCCCGCACGCCACCAGATTACAGGCAAAGGTCCTCAGTTCCTCAACCTGACCACGCCCCTGAAGGCAACGTGTGCATTTTAGAACTGCCCATAGCCAGCCGTTGGAGACGCCTCTCATCCACGCTCGTAGCTTGAATTGCCAAAGTCCTGTGCGCTTAGTATGAAATTCTACATAATGTTCAGGTGTATGAGGTGTTTTGCCACTTGCAGGCATTTTATAGATATGTTGAATGAATGACTTGACGGTCATTATAGGTGCAAAACAGGAAGGATGTCAGCCAGGCCAGACTGTTGATAGAACATGTCGTCTTGGCAGGGCGGTGCGAAAGAAGAACCAGTCCGCTGCCAGACTGACTGGAGAGCAGAGCGGGCGTGTTTGATAGAGAGAGGGTGTGTTTGTGAGGAGAGAGACAGAGAGGCCAACCCCCCCCCCCCAGCCTCCAGTGCGCCACGCACAGTGGTGTGTCATAAAAATAAAAGCGGTGGTAATGGGATACAGCGCCTGGCCTCGACCGGTGGGCTATCCATTCAACGGGGCCTGAGTCAGAGGAAAAAACACCCCGAACCCAGGAGGGAGGCAGATTGAGAGAGAGATTAAAATAAGACGTGGGATTGGCGCGGGTCGGCTGTGTCTCCTCAGAGTTTTTCGCCCCCCGCTGCTCGGACGGAAGAAAGGGTACAGAGGAGGAGACGCCGGAGCATTTGGAGCAGCGCGTCAGATGGGCCACTGGGGCATGCAGGGTCAGGGGCCCGCGGGGTCGGAGGTAGTCCTATAAAGAGCACGCACACACACACACACGCACACACACACACACACACACACACACACACACACACACACACACAC